CAGGTCCTCCAATGCAACTCCATGGTCAATATATCTACCAGAATCATGCTGGAGGACCCACAAAAATGTCCATAGAAGTATTTTCTCTAGAAATATCTAGGTTCTCCAGCACAACTCTTTGGTCAACTTCCAGTAGAATTGCTCTGGAGGACTTAAAAGATTCTTAGAAAGAACATACAGTATTAATCAAAACTGTGAATAATCAAATCCATAAATGTAGAGGGCTGACTGTACTTCATTGCAAGATTGTTTGCATTTCTAATTAAAAGAAAACAATTGTATTTCAGCCAGCTGAAGATCTTGCATGAAAACTGGGTATATTTATACATTGACCTCCATGCAATCAGAAGAAGCAGAGTTTACTCTTCAGTAAATATGTACAGGTTGGCAGTTATACTTATACTGCTCTCAAAAGAATGAGTACTTCTGCAATGTGTGTGGCTGTCAGTGGTGTGTGTATATAATACAGGTGCCTTAAGTTTTGGGTTTTGTTGCGGGGCATAACTGTGGAAGTAGTTACAATGAACTCTTGCATTTCAGATTTTATCACTGTACCATCTATGACCCAAAACAACAACAAACAATCTCAATGAAAAAATTGGAATCACATCTTTATAGCCAGTCATTTATACACAGAATACATCTATATATCTCGTCACAAAGTACAGTACAATTTAAAGCTGGCGGCCTAATATCCCACCACCACCAATTATGGCAACAACAAAAAATCCAAAAAATAATTTACTGGCTTTCCCTTCCCCTCAGATCTGTGAGGAAAGGAGACAGATTCATTGTATGAGATTCTTTGGTTGTCATCACAGTATGAATTGATAGTGTTTCCTCAATGTCGTAGTGAAGATGCCAAGTATCTATTTGTCATAAGCCATCAAGTGCACATGGTAGGTTTTGTGAGCAGGCAAGAAGACAAATTTATATTTTGATTTTAACATCCACAACCTGTCTATTGTAGCACTAACTGGGCAAATAAGTTTCAGCATAAGCTTTTGTAGACTATGTTGAATTAAGTCCGTGAAAGCTTATGCTACAAACTTTTTTGTCTCAGACTCAAATGTATTAAGAATTAAGATGTTGGATTTTAAATATAGAGTGTTTTTTAAAAATATATTTTTATTAAATTTTCAATTATTCAAATTGATAAATCTCCTTCACATATACACATATACACCTAAACATTACATTTCTTGACAAGACAACATATCTATCTCTCCCTCTATACATTTAACAAGATAGACCAGCATTTTTTTAAAACTTCCTTTTTAAAATGTAGACTGTTTTAAAATGTACCTATATGCCTTATTTGTCCTTTTAAACTGTTGCATGTTTTAATTAATGTGTTTTAATTGATGTTGTTAATTGTTGATTTGTTGTTGTTCCTCATCTCGATCTATGAGGAGAGGCGGATAAGAAATAAATTATTATTATTATTATTATTATTATTATTATTATTATTATTATTATTATTATTATTTACTACTACTGCTACAATATCCCTTTGCATACCATTCCAGACTAACACGGCTATGTCTTTGAATTCTACCACCTGTGAAAAAGATTAGTCTGAAAAATAGTGATTTGTCTAAGATCAACCGGTGATGTTCACAGCTGAGTGGGAATTTTTATGGCCTCTCACAGTCTTGGTTTGATACTGAGACCATTATACCATATGAATGCTTAAATTAACTGGGCTTAAACGGAATTTATTTAGGATGAGTTAAGAGTGCATCTACGCTGTAGAAATAATGCAGTTTGACACTAAAGTGTAGTTGCTCCATGCTATGGAATCCTGGGATTTGTAGTTTTACAGGGTTTTTAAAGCCCACAGTGCGACACGAAGGCAGCAAGGCGAAGATGTTCAGGAGAAGACGATCAGCAGTACGAAGAAACATTGTTTTACCTGAACAGAATTTTAAAAATTGAGAAAGGGAGGGAAAAAGCATCAAAAAGGGAAAGAATTTGCAACATGGACTAAATAGATGAGACACGGAATGTGGAACAGGTATGAAACATGAGTTCATTTTATAAAAGTCTTTTGAGTGAACCCACAATCTCTCCCTTCTATTGTGACTCAAATATTGTTGAGTGCATAAGAACTGCCATTGTTATGGATTTATTTATTTAAAACTATACCCTATTTTTCATCATAGTTTTGTGATATCTCTCATATATTTGATGCTATTGCTACCACCCAATACAATTAATTTTAGTGAATTAATCATAAACATTTAAATTAATTAATGAAGTAATCTGGTACGCAGCAGGGCTGTTCACAAGCAGGATGTACTGGGAATACCCATTCCCTTGTACTCAGAGGATGCCTCCAGAAAAGGTTTATATTGTGCCATCATTCACAGAATTATATCAGAGGGCAGACATCCAAAGGCCTTTTACACTATACAATTATAGCACTATTACTCCAATTTAACTCCCGTAGTTCCATTTTATGGAATCCTGGGATTTGCAATTTGTAGCTTTTGCTGTGTGCCTTCAAGTCTTTCTGACTTATGGTCACCCTAAAATGAACCTATCATGGGGTTTTCTCAGCATGTTACTTCAGAGTGAGTTTGCCATTGCCATCCTCTGAGGCTGAGAGAATGTGACTTGCCCAAGGTCATCCAGTGGCTTTCCATGGCTGAGCAGGGATTCAAACCCTGTTCTCCGGAGTCGTAATCCAATGTCCAAATCACTACACTACGCTGGCTCTTGCAATTTAGGGGGGAGTCTTTAAAACTCTTAGCTAGAGATCTCTAGTGCCTCACCAAACTAACAGCTCCAAGGATTCATTCCAAACTAACAACTCCAAGGATTCATTCCAAACTAACAGCTCCAAGGATTTAGACATGGCAGTTAAAGTGAAATCATAGTGCCGTAAGTAGGGTTGTCAGATCTCAGGGCCTGGCTCTGAGTCTCCAGTTTTCAGAGGTCATCTCCAGGTGGGAGATGAGAGTACATGTTCTCCAGTTTTGTGGGTCTCAGCTCCTGGCAAGAGAAAAGAGCTGTGTGGATATCCTTAGCTCACCTAGTAGAGCAGTAGCTTGCTACAATTTGCAAGGCTTAATTGATTTGGTCTTGCAACTTGGAAAGACTTTCCAGAGAGTCTATGTGTTCACTTACTGTATATACTCACGTATGAGTCTAGAAATTTTAGTGAACAAATCAATCCAAAAAAACTGGGGCAACTTATTCACAGGTCATTGTAAATACGGTACATTAACTCATATCAAAAAAGGAACCATCCCCTTCTCTGAGTAGGGTGATGGAAGGAAGGTGAGAGAGCTCAGTCTGTCCTGAGAGAACCTAAAAGAAGCACCATAGTGCAGCTTCTGGCCTTTTTGAATGCCTGCGTGGGAAAATAGTGGCAGTGGTGGCTCTTTGGCACTTCACCTCAAAGGAGCACTAAGACAGTCCAGGGGGTCAGTGCTTCTTTTAGGTTCTCCCAAAATGCACTAAGGGCTGATGCAAACCAGCACAAAGGGCCGGCTTCGGGGGTGGAGTTGGGGTGGGGCGGCCGCACGCCAGCCACCCCAACTCCACCCCAATGCTGTTCTGATGCCATGCGCCCATCTGCACGGCATTCGGCGTCAGCACGCCCTCCTGGCACAGCATGCGCACATGCTGCACCAAAAGGGCGCAAAAGAGCCTCTTTTGGGGGCGGCAAAAAGGAGAATCAGGTGTGGCATGTGGTTGTCGTGGCCCCGATCCACCATTCCCAGGGCGGCTCTGTTCAGGCTGTCTGCATCAGCCTAAGCTGTTGCCTTTTACCACACGACTCAGAGAAGGGAATGTTTTCCTTTTTTTGAGCATTGTTAATACTGTACCTTAACTCTTGCATGTACATCCTTTTTGACATGTGCACATTTTCCTAGCCCTGCCAGCACCTGGTTGCCTCCCTCACACATCACACAGCCACCATTTGCTGTAGTTCCTTCCTTATCCATTTAGCCTTCAGTGTGAGCACAAACAGTTATGCTTGCCAGAATTTTGTAAATTCTTCGGCATCATTTTCTTTTGCTTTGTCCTTTACATCTTTTTTTTAATGCCCCTAAATTTTACCCTCAACGTATCCATGGGTCATATCAAAATCCATAATTTTGTTCCCAAAACTTGCCCTCAATTTCTACTTGAAGTCAATTTATACACTAGTATATGTGGTAGTTAGCTACCTTCTCTCTCTCAATTGTTGTGGCACCAGGAGTCACCCTCTCTACTCTGCTCTGCATTAATCTTTGGCTAGAGGCAAGTAGGCAAGATTAAATGTTCTGCCTAAATAGGTGAGGAAGAAATAATCCTATAATCTCACCCTGATTTGTGGACAGCCCCTTTAGCTGGGATTTCTGTCTTAATTTCCAAAAAGGAAAATGTATTCTCTGTGTGTGTGTGTGTTTGAATGATAAGCTGTGAGCAACTGTGGCTGGTACTTAATATGCTGTCCAAGATTTAATGACCGCACCAGAGTCTATCCCTAGATCTCCACTTTTGGCCCATAAAACCCAGGGCCTGAAACAATCCTGGATTGGCAACCCTAGCTATAAATCAGCATTGTGAGAGGATTCCAAATGGTGTCTTCCATTTCTACACCTCCTGTATGGTATTAATATTATAACCTCAACTTTAGTGCTATTTTTAAAAAATACATTTTAAGGGCCCCTAGTGTTGGATTTGGAAATCAACACTTTAATAAAGAACACAAATTTTGGATTTTTCCAGTGCTTCACTTTTGTTTTCCAGATGCTGAACTACAATTTCCACAATCTCTTACCAGTAACTATGATGGCTGGGCTTATGGGAGTCGGTCTAAAACAGGGGTAGGCAACCTAAGGCCCGGGGGGGAGATGCGGCCCGCCGAGGCCTTTGGACCAGCCCTGGGCCAGTCCTGCTGCCGTCGCTGCCACCCCCTGCCATGATGATATTGATTATTGTTGTTATTACTTGTTCTTGGGGTTTTCTTGGCAAAATTTCCACAGGGGTTTTGCCATGGCTTTTCTGGGGCTGAGAGAGTGTGCATTATTTATTTATTTATTTATTTTTGGTGCTTCGGCGCCCCAATTGTCTGAGGGACAGCAACCCGGCCCCCGGCTCAAAAAGGTTGCCTACCCCTGGTCTAAAACATCTGAGGGGCCAAATATTCTCCACTCTGTCATCCAGTGTATCATCTTGAACCTAATATATGATGTCAGTGATGTATGTGAGTGATACTCACCTGCTGTTCATGTCTATTCATTAGTTTGCCACAGGCTCCAGGACCACCAGATCGCTCTCTTCCTGAGCCTCATCCATCTCAATGTTATCACTCATTGAGAACCAGACAAATACTGGAGCAATTCTTTCCACTTGGATGCCTTTACTATTGAGGTACGACTGCAGGGCGCGGAGAAACTACATGACATGAAATCATATGAAACACTATTTGGTTATTGCTCATCAGAACTCGATTTTTATGGTTTCTTTTGCAATCTCCCTCTTTTTCTATACTTTATCCTGAAACTATGTTGATCAGCTGCTGGACTCCATACTAGTGCCAGACAAACCTATCCGAAAGCAGCATCTCCACTTATTTCTGTAAAGAGCAAGCTTAGCTGCTTTATAGTGCATCCAAATTTTGGAGACATCTACCTTATTTTCTTTTCTGACTAGCAATGTCTCTTCAAGACCTCGGGCAGAGATTATTCTTGTCAACCCTGTTGCCTTTTAGCTGTGAATAGGGCTTTGAGATTTTGCTCTGTTTTTTCTCAGTCCTGCATAGCAGTTCATCACATGGGAACCATATGTACTTCCATCCCGATAATGATTAAAGCAGCTGCAACCTGCAAAAGCGTGCAAAGTGCTAATGATTTTCACACGCAGAACACAATAATGCGTTAGAAGCTCATTACTAAAGTGTTAAAGCGGGTAGAACGTACATTTGGCTTTCACACAGATGTGTATAAACCCCGATAATGGTTTGGGAAACACTTTTTTTTGGCACGTGCACACAGAAGAAGTAGTTGTGTCACCAGAAATCACCCAGAGAAATAATTTTATTTACACAATTTTCTTTATAAAAATATACTGTAACTATCCCTTACTTTCCAAGAAATGGTATCCAACCTAAGTAAAAAGAACAAAACATTACCCAAAGAAGTAGGAAAGGTAGAAAAACAGCATAAAAATCTGCATCCCTCTGGGCAACCAGTGTCCCTGCCTTCCCTCAGCGGCTGTTCCTTTAAGATCCCTGGCTAATGGAGAAGGGCGAGGGGGAAGAGACATTCACACAGACTAGGGAGAAGCAAGTTTTTTCCCTGTGTCCCTGCCTTTGCCTCAGCAACTGTTCCTTTAAGAGTCCTGGCTACTTACCCCAAAGAACCATGAGAAATCTGGCAACAAGTACAGAAATGGGGAGAATCCCACAAATGGCTTTCACACTAGCAATTATGCAAAAGAAAAGCAAAATCGTGAATGAAACAGAAATGAATTTATGGTATTTTTCCGAAAATACCCATTTGCTGGTTCATGTCACTTTCCTGTTGGATTTCAAACAGTTTGTGCACAACATCTTGTGAAAATCATTTGTGCAATTACGCCTAATATGCTGGATAAACTTCCAATTTTCCCCGTGTGATAAACTCCATAGTCAGAGATGCAAGGAATTAAAATGGAGGTAATTTGTATTCAATAGATGTCCTCTATCCCTGAACTAAGGTCTCTCCATATCAGTTTAATGGCCATTATTGTTTGCAGGTATCAGAATTGTCTGACTGTCACTTTCAAATCCAGTCTGTCCAAAGGAAAAGGGAAGGATGACAAGAGGGAATGGAATCACACAGTTCTACTGCTATAGGCTGTTCTGTCTCTGTCTAGCCAAAGTCGCAATATAATCTATTGATCTTCCAACAGAAGGAAGGGCAAACAAGTTTCCTTGGGCCATCTAGTGTTTCAGCTGGAGGATGTCACTTTTTTAGAAAGGTTGCAGCGTAGTGGTGGATTGCAGTGGTCCTGGCTTCTGTCACTGGCAATTTCCGACTGGGCTGGGACTGGGAAAGACTTCTGAAACTCCAGGAAACACTTCACAGTCAGGTAGATAAAATTAATCTAGACATTCCAATGGTTAGGGTCAAAATAAAAGCTCCCTACATCAGTTTTTAAGACATACAACACTGTTCTACAGACTGGATATAGTGTCTGAAGAAAGACGCTGGAATACAATAGTATGAGATTTGGAAGCATGCACAATACCAGTTCTGCCCTTGTGGCTAGAGGAGCATCATGTGGTTTGATGTACAGAGATAGCAAAATTAGATGGCAAAATCCCAAGGTAGTAGAATGGATGGTACTCCTTCAAGTAGAGCATATATTTTTGAATGGTGCCACATGTTTTTTAAACAAAACGATCAAACCAACATCAAAAAGTATCAGTATATAATGTATATACATATAAAGGTACCAGCATATCAGTGAAAAAAGTTCTAGCCCTATCTGTTTTCTGTTGTACTAGTTTTCTCTTTTCAAAAATGTTTTAATGTAGGAACATCCATAAATGGTATCTTCTACCTTCACCTTGAAACGGTATAGCCCATTCCTAGGATTCTGTCACTTCATTACCACCTTAATGCATTTGGTGTTGAGTCATAATCTGTGGATTTTTTTTTTTTTTTGCATTTGTGTGATCATATCAACCTAAAACAAAGGTGGTCAAGCACAGATGGTCAAGGGTCCATATCTTCC